CAAAAGCAATAATATGATAGATATTATGGGAAAATAGACAGCGTTGTATCGGCTGAAATATCATCAAATGACAGGCCATGCTTGAGACGAACTGTACTGAGGCACATGATTCATGGACCATGCGGTGCCTTGAATCCGGCAGCACCATGCATGGACAACGGTGTGTGTTCAACAGACCGCATGATGCATTTGGGCTGTTCAACGACTATGTTGACGATATGTGCGATGACATCGTTAACGAGATATATGGTGATGTTGCCAACATGGCTGACAGCGAAGATCTGACGAACAGAACTATACTCACAACGAACAACGATGCTGCAAAGGAAATCAATGACAGGGTCCTTGACTTGATGATCGGCAACGAAGTAACATACACGAGTGCAGACTCTATTGTCACAGAGGACAACGATGTTGTTGCGAAATATCCGCTAGAGTTTCTCAACAAGCAGCAGCCTTCAGGAATGCCACCGCACAAGTTAGTTCTAAAAAGAGGTGCGTTGATAATGCTATTGCGCAACCTTGATCCAGCCAATGGCCTGCTCAATGGCACACACCTGGTGGTTGATGAACTCCACACAAACTTCATCATGGCTACTATTGTAACCGGATCCAGGAAAGGTAGCAGGGCAGTGATACCAAGGATCGACATGGCACCGAGCGAGACACAGCTGCCATTCATACTCAAGAGAAGACAGTTTCCGGTTCTTCTTTTGTTTGCGATGACAATCCATAAGTCACAGGGTCAGTCATTTGACAAGGTAGGTGTTTATCTGCACAGCTCTGTCTTTGTACATGGTCAGTTGTATGTAGCTCTGTCGAGAGTGCGCTATGCAAACGGTTTAGGGGTGTATGTTGCTGATAATGCAGACCAAGGAAAGCATGAGAATGGTAAAGCATACACAAGAAATGTTGTATATAATGAGCTACTGGAATGAAAGTGATTTATTGATTTGTAACCACAGAACAGTTGGTAGCAAGGAATGACCTGATGTGGCAGTTATACTCAAAAGCGCTATTTTGGTATACTATCCATTCATCACCTATTTTGAAAAACAAGCAGTGTAGCTTAAGTTGGTCTTCGCATAGAACTGAGCATAAGAAAACATTTCAGGACATACTCGCTGATGTAAGTAGCTAAACATCTTTACAACATGTTCTTTATCATTAAACATAGTTCATTAGATCTGTTTTATGAGTAAAAGAAGTAAGGATATCTACCCGTTCTGCACTATGTACTATATGTAGTAAGTCGAAAGTAATTAAATGTATTATTGACAAAAAAATGTTGGTACACAAACCAAGGATTGGTCAGGCTATTTATTATTTTTGTTCATTTTAGTAATTATATGAATCTTGCTATTCTGTGTTCACCAGTTCAATATTTACACATCATATGAATAAGGGTATGATTTTTCCGTTTATGCATTTTAGGAAAGCGTATAAATACAAATAGTTTGTCAATATTCCTTACCAAATATGCAAATTATTATAATACTAATCAATTCGGTGTATGTGATGGACAACTCGTATCCCGACGAGGATAGTGGTCATATCGCAGAAATTTCTCCAAGCAACACTTTTGTGCATCCTGGTATGGAGGTAATCGGCCATCCTACGCAGTTGACCACGTGTAGCGATGAATCACGAGAACATGCACAACATGATAGTGAAAGTGTGGGAACGAGCAGCTCAAGAAAACGTAAAAGAATGAGCAGACAATCGAATGAGGATCGCTCGGACAGACTTGAAAGATTGCAAAATGTCATTTTTAAAGTGATAAATAAGAGAGAATATTTTGCTCAAGAATATAATCAAACTACAAAGGATAACCAAAGAGACTTAGAGTTGTCCAGGTATTTTGATAATATAAAGGGAATGTTGGTTAAGTTTGCATATTATACACA